GTAAAAGCTTGTGTCGCTTAAGTTTCGTCGGTACGAAGTTACGGAAAATCAATTAAAAAAAACGGAGACGTAACAACTGGTTAACTGATTGTTTTCTTCTGTAATAAGGTTGTTCAAGTTCTGACTGGATTCTCTCTTAACTACATAATATTACTCTTGACACCATGTTGTAAAAGGTTCTATTGTTGGTTCTTTTGAATTATTTAGTATAGAAAAAAGAATGTATAGTCCATTCCATCCATAACTCTATTTAATCATCAAAACACTGACTAATTAGCTGACTTTAACAGACAAACTGACTAACAAAAATAATAATTCACTTCTTTGGACTCAAGGTAATTTACTAAAGAACGAAAGAATCAGTTATCATCTACTCTAGCCTAACGTTTTCTACTGCTGAAATCGTTTCCAAAAATTGTTTAAATGTTCTAGTCATTAAGCCACACACTCATTCCTGATGTTAGACCTTCTTCTGGATGGTCAACAGTACAAAAGTCTAAGCTCATAAAATAGTCTACAACAATATAAAGAGTTGGATTAATTACCGCCTTTTGTGGGGCTCCTGTGCTGTAAATAAATGGTTCTGAATATTCATTATTTACGTTTCATTTGATTTGTCTGTTTTTTTGTGAAGCATGTTATCCACCAAACAAATCTGAGACTTATGTTGAGACTGTGCAGCTTATACAGAGGATTGAGTAAGTTATAGTAGAATAGTTTTCAATACACAAAGCGGTAAGTCACGTGACAAACACAGTCAGCATGCATCTGAACTACATTTTAACATTGTTGGCATCGCATAGGTAGTGTGATTCTACCACAAATTGATTGCGTTTGAGAGGGGTGTGTAACATTTCTTTAAGAACTCTGATCATAAAGATGTGTTCAGATCAAGAATACAAAACTACCACGATTAAGATATTTTTTGTATTTAATAATATTGGAAAACAGGGTAATATGATTAGCTTAGGCCATCAGGACCATCCAGAAAAAGACCTGCAACAATCCATACCCTAGACATTGTGTGGAAAGTGAGACATCAATTAAAAGGTTAAAGTCCACGAACGCAAATGTAAGTGATAAAAGCCACCTACGTGTTCCAGGCAACAGTACATAGGATAATCAAGAAGGATCTTCATCTTGAAATAAGGCCAACAATGTAAGTGTTTAGCTTGATTAGCTTGAAACGGGTATTAACGCTATTTCATATGGAGACATGCCAGCCAAATGGACTTCTGTGCGATCTAAGTATTGAAACTGGTGCTGTAGGATAGGAGTGGTGTGCTTTGGCTACGCCAGTGCATTTATTAAGTTGGTTCCATAAACATAACATAATATTAAAGGACAACAAGGGACCTTTTGGTACATCTAAGTTGTCCTATCCACTTAAATCTCTCTTCCCCCCCCCCAAAAAAAAACATCTAAAAGCCAGCCCTTATTGTTAAAATATTTATCAAGGTTTCTTTAATTTCTTTTAAATTAACTGCATCACCACATTCAAAAGCAACACATTCCAGAGGCTAACCACCCCTGTTAGAAAAATAAAACTATTAGCTGAAGATAAATCCTACCTAGCCAAAACTTATATTTGTGTCCCCAAGTCTTGCTAATCTCACCATTAAATATGAAAGAAATAATATATCGACACAATCAAATCCTTTAACAAACTTAAACACCTCATACAGATCCTCTCCAAGTCGTATTTTCAAGAGAAAACACATTCAGAGATTTTAGCCTATGCTCATGTGATAACACTTCCATCCTAAGTATCATCCTAGTAACCTTCCTCTAAACCCTTTCTAACAATTCAACATTCTTTCTGGGGTCAGAGTGTTTATATATTGTGTTAAAGTGATTTTCACTATTTCTATTGATTATAATAGTACAGAACAGGAATTAAGCTTGTTTTCACAGCTTACAAAATGTTCTGAATTTGTAATTCAACAATGGGAACCAGGTATGATAGTCCTTATAAATAAGGAAACCTTCTGGGTTATCCCAAGTCGACCTGTCTTGTTTGGTCCTACTAGCTACAAAACTTAAGGAGAACAAAAAATTCACAAGTACACAAAGTGAATTAACATGGAGTAGAAAAAGCCAAACATTAACTAATCAGTATTAAGTTGTGTATTTGGTTCTAACCTTTTATGATGAGACTTATGTGAATACATGGAAAGCAAAACTTTTTATATTTGGGTTAAATGTCATGAAAAAAATGAAACAATTCGTATTGTGTGAAACTGAATTATGACTGAAATAATTCAGTAATTTTCTCAGTATAATACAGAATTTTACAGTATCATACAATACGAAAACTAGGCTAAACCTTTTGTATTGAAATATTTGGATTTGTAAAAATCCGGGCTAGTGTCCAAGAACGAACATTATGTTGCGTTTAAAACGTTCTGTGTAGATTAAGTATGTATGTAAATATTTATTTTAAATTGGTTAAAAAATTCACATTCTTTAGTGAATCTAATTACAAGGTTGTTGTTTTTTCTATTTTCTTAATATATCTCAGCCAGCTTATTGCAAGTGGAAAAGGGTTGGGCTTTTCGTTTCATAACTCTGACAAAGTTTAAGACCTTACCATCAGTCAACTTTTGCCATGTAGCATTACAAAGTCTATGAGGTATATTGGTAAATCTAGACCCATTTCACGTGTAACTTTCAGTTTGTTACTTCCTAAACTTGATCTTTTCCTCCGTTTGTTTTCAATCAAATTATTGTCGAGTCAGTAGGAACCCAGAACTACGTGATCTTCAATTATGTAAGTCGACCTAACATTTAAAACTATATAACCATGGGCGTCCACCAAACATTCAAAACTATTGGTCAATTTCAATATTGCAGTTTAAGCTACTTTTAAAAGCTTCTTCAAAGCTTTCAAAACTATATGATCATTGGCGTCCACAGAAGTTTTTCCATTACAGTCTGCCCCCCAGTGGCACAGCGGTAAGTCTGCGGACTTACAACGCTAGAAACCGGGTTTCGATACCCGTGGTGGGCAGAGCACAGATAGCCCTTTGTGTAGCTTTGTGCTTAATTTCAAAACAAACCATTACAGTCTGGGGAATAGGAAAGTTCCCACAGTTAGATTTGATGGGTTTAATATTAAGTAAGGGTAGTTTAAGCCATCCTGCAAATGTGCAGTTATATATACTCCATATATACTCTGCAAGACCGCGTCGGTCTCTTTGGTTATCTGAGTAAGATTTGCCATTTTCAGTATCCAAGAAGCCGCCATGGTAGTGACTTTTTTCAATATTTATCTATAGACTAGGTATCTAGAGATTTTAAGAAAATCTGCTGACAAACCTGGCGACTTTCATCAGAATTGAAAATTAAGTGTGTGAGTAGTGTAAAACTGTGAAGTGAATAGAAAAAAACTTGTAAATTCATATACATATGCTGAATGAATAAAGCAAGAATATGTTTCTCATTTTCCGAGGGGGGGGAGCAGTGCGCCCTTGTATTTAACATATTAACTTGAATTATTCTTTTGAGAAAATAATTAATCGATCATGTGAATGAGTTCGTTAAAAAATGCTTCCCCACTGGCACATCGGCGTGTCTGCGAACTTACAACGCTATAAACCAGATTTCGATACCCGTGGTGAGTAGAGCACAGAAAGCCAATTATATAGCTTTGTGCTTACCTATAATAATTAACAACGACAAGGAAACGTATACGTTTTAAAAACTTACTGTCTTCAGCTCATAAATAATCAAGCAAAATAGAAGTCATTGTTAATCCTAGCTATAACCAACGGAAAAACGTATAACTCCACCCAAGAGTTGTTATTAAGTTCTTTTACGATGAAAGTTATATGACTACATGAACAAATATTTAAATTTGGGTTAGGTTATCTTGACCCAGTGGGTTAGCGGCGGCAGCTTTTCGGACTACCAACACTAAAATCCAGGATTCGAGTCTCCGCGGTAGACAGAATGCAACTAGCCCATTGTGCACTAAGAAAACAAAAACAACATTAAGTATTATGAAAAAATAAAACAAGTCATATGTAAAAGTGAACTATGATTGATTTGTTTGTTGAATTTTGGGCAAAGCTACTCAAGAGCTATCTGCGCTAGACGTCTCTGATTTAGAAGTGATAGACTAGAGGGAAGCCAGCTAATTAACATCACCCACCGCCAACTCTTGGACAGCTCTTTCTTTTGTTTGTTTGTAGTTAAGCACAAAGCTACACAATGGGCTATCTGTGCTCTGCCCACCACATGTATCGAAACCCGGTTTCTAGCAGTGTAAGTCCGCAAACACACCGCTGTGCCACTGGAGGGCGACAGCTCTTTCACCAACGAAAAGTGGGACTGACTGTCAGATTATGACGCCACCACGGCTAATAGGGCGAGCATGTTCAATGACTGGGATTTGAACCCGAGACCCGCATATTGCCAGTCGGGTGGCTCCTAACCACCAGGCCCATAAGCGCGTACAAATGGACAAAAATTAATTGGTCAATATTTAAACAGTAATAACTTTGAATCTACCGTCTCTAAAATTATCTAATGAATTAATTACAGAACTATTACCACTCACTTTATTGATCAAAATTTTTTTATATTATTATATGTTTCAATATTACCGATTAAGCCTATTTACCACACTAGTAACGCATAATTACGGTAAAAAAAATAACAACAACAAAATTAATCAATCAGGAAATAATTATAACAACCTAAATACATGTGACATAAGACAAGTAATATACAGTAGACTATACTATTACACAACAAAAGTTTACGCTGAAATTCATTTTCCCGAATCCGCGCCTGAGGAGATTTAACTTTTGTCATAATTATTTGGGATTTAAAGATGTCGAACTTCTATTAAAATAATAAACATTATTTTAATACACAAAATCAGCAAAAAAGAAAACACAATCTCAATGACATTATATTTTTGATTATATAATTATTAGTTTTAAGTTTTTAAGTTTTTTTCTGTTACTTTGCTGCTAAGCACAAAGTTACACAATTGACTATCTTTGAGTTGTCCACCGCGGGTATCGAAACACGATTTTTAGCTTTATACGCCCTCAGATATATCGCTGAGTTACCAGGGGGAACAGCAAATTTGGCAGCTAATACAATGCACTTAAAAACGTAATATTATATTCATGCCTCCCTCTCCTTTTTTTTTGGCTTGGCATGACCTGGTAGTTATGGCGCTCGATTCGCAATCTGTGGGTCGCGGGTTCGAATTCCAGTCACCGAATATGCTTGCCCTTTCAGCCGTGGGGGCGTTACAACATTACAATCAATCCCACTATTCGTTGATAAAGAATAGTCGAAGAGTTGGCGGTGGATGGTGCTGACTAGCTGCCTTCCCTCTCATCTATCACTGCTAGATTAGGGACGACTAGTGTAGATAGCCCTCGTGTAGCATTCCACGAACTTCAAAAAGAAACAGCCCTCTTTTTTTTCGGGGGGGGGGGCTAATATTGCATAGGCCTACATTTGAGAGTATGTTCTATAAATCCAGGAAAACATTACATTGGTAGTAATGAATCCAGTAGTAATAAAAATTGCACCTGCAGAAACAATTCAAGGTGATATTTCGAAAAGAAGAGGATATCATTTTTAGGACGTTTCATTACTTCCTTCTTTGCACTATTACAGTAGCAATATTTGCTGAACACCACAGTTTAGAAGTATCAGGACATTAAGTTTAATCTGTGAAGTGAAAACATATGACTTGTTAAACTAAGTTTATGGATTAGCTTCGGATACTTTTGAATGATGGAATTTTACTGTACCTGACATGGCGCACACCGAACTCTCAGGTTTAAAATCTAGGCACTTTAACTGCTAGGCCATGCCTGGCCCGTTAAGATTAGTTTCACATTATTGTTTAATAAGAAACAAACGAACATAAACAGTTGTTATGAGTAGAGATACCAGAGCACATTTATTTGTTTCTGAACAAAAAGCTATATTATGGGCTATCTGTGCTTTGCTCATCACGGTATCGAAATCGGACTTGTAGCGTTCTAAGTTCTCAGACTTACCGCTGGAGAGCGATAGGGTATCACAATCGTAATTAACTCTAAAAAACGATTAATATTATCTAAATATTTTACTAGAAAAAATTTTTAATCAACAATTATGAAAAATAACTGTTTTAATAGTTAAACCGATTTTATTTAAATTTTCAATCTTTCCAGTTTTATTTTGTAACAAACTCCATTGCTTTTAGCCTAAAGAATAATTTCACAAGAAAAACTTACCAATGTTAACAATTTTTATTCCTTCATCTTCTTCCAAAAATTTCAACGCAACAGAAACGTTTTCCAGTTTTTGAGATCGAAAACATGTTTTCTTGTTGTGCCTAGGCAACTTTTTTCCAGAAAGTACTTCAATTAAGCCGATCAGCTTTAGACCATCAGACAAGTCCGTTTCCAAGTTGTTAATAACTTTGTTTATACTCTTTAAGTGTTCATTAGCCCATCTCGTAAAAGTGTTCTGTTGAATCCGTTTCCATACTGCGTCTTCTGCTAGATCACGTTCCATCTCGTCTTCCTCATCTTCATAGCTTATACCCGATTTTTCGTCAACAGACTGCATGTTTGAAGCGATTTCAAACTTCTTGTCACTAGCTTGCAAATTAGAAGCGACACCTAGTGTTAAAATATATATAAAAGTCAACTCATGATGTGAAGGGTGTAAAAGAAAAAAGCAATGATACAACGTTTCACCTGCTTATTGTTATGTGCAATTTTTTATATTTTTTTTTACGATTAATGATACTTTAAAACTTTCGGATATCTGCTTTTAACTTTCCTAACTCATTGCGTCGATACGATTGAATAAAAGACAACACATACGATGCCATCCAGAACAGAGCGGTAATGACATCATACGTCACGCAACAGAAGTTTACATTACGTAGTTATTGTTGACTTCTGGTTGATCGAGAATATGTTCTACTGTAAATAAATCACAATCGCTGTCTTGGAATTTCGTTCCTTTACTTAGGTGATGTTTAAATAAGACATGAAAGGCTTTTATTAGAGCGGCTTACGTTTCTAGAAGTAGAAAAAATACTTACGACTTCCATCAAATTCTAGTTTTAATCAAGTTTTTAGACACTACTGATAATTTTAATACTGTTGTGAATTCAAAGTCACTTTCGTTGATGCAGAGAATGCTATGCCTCTTAGCGAGTCTATTTTTAACTTTCTACCAAAAAACGGATGCACCGTTGTTGTGCTAAACTTATTGACAGGACTGGCATCAGTGTCCTTGCAGCCCTAAGACTACTTAGGGGACCTCAAGCTGTAGTTACCTAATGGACAATTTAACCATATCAGAGATGTTGAATTATTTTGTTTTAATTCAAACATATAATTCAATAATTCTATTCAGTTGCAGAAGGAACATTTTCATATCGAATTATTAATCTTAAAGCTTTCATGTATAAAAAATGTTTATTTTATGCCATTTAACATGCAAATTATGCGTCTGACATTCCGCATAACATATTTCTAACTGTAGGTGCGAATTAGTTTAGTCAAATGGTAACACTATCAAGAGTTTGTTTGTTTGTAATTGAGCACTAAGCTACACAATGGGCTATCGAAACCCGGATACTAGCGTTGTAAGTCCGCTGTGCCACTGGGGGGGGGGGGGCATCTCTAAAAGAACACATAATAGTTTTCCGTGGTGGGAGGACTGTTGTAAATAAAGCTTGTATGGAACAGGTGGCAAGTGATTCAGGAGAAGATAAAGATAAAATGATCGATAAGAGAATTAACCAAGCAATAAAATCAAACTTAAGAAAGAGGAATAGAATAAATATATTAAATATTTACAAAATAAAAGAAAATAGAACTTTAGTGCTGTGAAAAGAAAACTGAGAAAGCAATAAATGCAAGAAAAAATAGGTGCACTTGATTTCTGAAGTACACTGGAAGAAGCAACAGTTGATAATGAACTGAAAGTAAACGACAGACAGTACAGAACAAAGAATATCAAAATAGAATATGAGGATTTTGTGCAATTTCAAGAAACAAATATCGAAGATATTAACAAAATACCAGATTTGCACATTTTGGATATTGGTTCATGGCCACAATTATAAACCCCAAAAGACAAGTTACTTTAGCCATCATCATTGCTGCCATTATCACACACACACACACACACACACACACTTGTGATTGTAGCACTACTAATATTTTACTGCTTCTGATGCCTATCCTTGTTACGTATCTGAGGATGAGCCAATCATTGCTGCACAACAACAACAGTTCAACCTGATCTTTGTTTTTATATTGTGTTATATAGTACTTTAATGAAATTAAGAAATAGATTAAACC